AAAAAAGAAAGAATCCTTCTAAAATCTCTCATCTCCATCTTTTCCCAGCTCGCTTTGCTCTCTCTCACTGACAAGGAACCTAAGCCAGCTCCAAAAGCAGGCATGTCTGCCCTGAGCTGAGTTTGCAGAGTTGCGTGGACTTTTCACCCTGCTTTTTCCCCCCAAGTCCCGCCGTCTCAGGTGGCCATTATCTCCTGGAAAGGAATCATTAAGCTTGTGTTTCTCAACCTTGGCACTCGCGCGGTTTGGAGCGGACCATTCTTTGCTGTGGGGCCGTCCTCTGCTCTGTAGGATGTGTGGCAGCATCCCACTAGGTGCTGCTAGCACCTACCTCTAAGCTGTGACAACCAGAAACATGCCCAGACACTGCCAGCTGTCCCCTGGCGGGCAGCCCCACCGTGACTGAGAACCACTGCTCTAGGCCAGCCGGCATCCTGGAACACTGCTGCCCTGAGGCCGCCCCGTCTGGGGTCTCATCCTTTTCCTAGGCCTCTGGGCTGGAGGAGCCCCCACCCCACCTTCTCTAGGGCTCATAATCAAAAGATCTGAGCCCTGCAGATACAAGGAGCACAATTCCGGAGGCCGCCTGCTCGGCCAGGGGAGGGATCAAAGCTGGTGGCAGAGGGGGTCACTTGTGGGGAGGGTCTCGGGGCATTGGCTCTTTACCTCCCTGCCCAGGATCGTTCTGGCACTGTCACAGCTGGTACCACTGCCACAGCACGGCCGGCCGACATCATCCCTTGACTCAGAAGCCCTGTCTTGGTCCCTGACCTTGAGCTTCTTTGGCCCTCAGGCTGCTCCTTCAGGCTGGCTATGACCCGGAGCTCCGGGATGGGGACGGCTGGACCCCCCTGCACGCAGCAGCCCACTGGGGCGTGGAGGATGCCTGTCGCTTGCTGGCCGAGCACGGTGGGGGCATGGACTCGCTGACCCATGCGGTGAGGGCCGGGACGCCAGGGGGCTGGGGCGGTGGGGTGGGGAGGGCCCCGTGCCTCCTCCATCATCTGTCCCTTCTCCCCCTCCCCCACCCAGGGGCAGCGTCCCTGTGACCTGGCTGATGAGGAGGTGCTGAGCCTGTTGGAGGAGCTGGCCCAGAAACAGGAGGACGTGAGTCTCAGGGGCCCCCTCCCCTCCTGTCAGCACCTCAGAGGCTAGGGAGGGAGGGCCTCCTCCTCGTCCTCCAAGCCCCTGGTGCCTACCGCCCTGGGGACCTGTCCTCCCCAACCAGTGACTGAGACCCCGTGGAGGGCCATGAGGAGGGGCACATCCGGGCAGTCAGAGCAGGTAGGGTCTGGGGCCCAGGTGGACCTTGGGATGCAGACGAGGGTAGTCTGTTGGCTGGGGTAAGCCTTGTCACCCCTGGGATGCCCCTGACCAGCACCGGGTCAGGCTTGGTTGCTGGAAAAATGTGGAGTGAAGGGGTGAACAGTGTGGACTCAGGCTTTGAATTCTGGCTCTGCCGTGGATTTGCTGTGTGAGGTTGAGCTGTGCACTTAACCTCTCTGGGCCTCAATTTCCTTATCTGTACAAGGGGGATAATAGTGTGTGCACTTTATGAGGAGTTACGTATGCTGTTACGCAGAGTATGTATTATGTTATGAGGCGTATATGAGTTACCGAACAAAGCCATTTAGAACCCTGCCTGGCATACAGTAAGCACTATTGGGTAGCAAGAAACATCTCCCGAGGCCTCTTAGGGGCCAGGCCTTCTGCCAGGAGCTTCTGCTGAGTGGCTGGTGGGCAGAGACAGGTCCCTCTGGTAAATTTGGCTGTGGCGATGTCAAGGGTGGTGGACTCGGGAGAAGAAGGGCCTGCTTCCAGCTTGGTGGACTCAGGACAGCTTCCCAGACCCAGGGCGGGCACATGGGGTTGAGGAAATGGCACAGGCTGGGGGGTAGGAACATGTGTGGTACCTGGAGGGGAGCGTGAGGCAGGGCCTGGGAGAGGGCAGACCCTGAAGGGCCTTGAGAGCCAGGCTGAGGAGCAGCACGAGGTGATGGTGATGGGGGTCCTGGGGGGATTTTTAGTGGGTGAGGCAGGGTCAGCTCTCAGCTGGTAAGGTGGGTGTGTCTCCCGGCCATCCGGAATGCTTTCCGGATGAGATGAGTGAGATGAGTCCTGCGGTGCTCCGGGTTGGCTCAGAGGGGCTGGGAGGCCCGGCATTCCTGGCTGGGGCACCGCTCTGCACAGGCTTGGAGGTGTGAAAACCTGTCGGGCTGGGAAACCTCGCCTGGTGCCACCAGGCTCGGGGGCGCCTGAGAGCGAGTGGTAAGGGAGGAGGAAGGGGCCGCCGGGCTGGTGTCCGGGTGAGCTGAGTGGTCAGGGAGAATTTGAGCAGGTCGCCCCTGGGAGGTAGACAGAGCCCTCTGGGGACGATACTGGAGGTGGGGAAGCAGGGAGGAGGCCGTGAGAACAGGTCAGTGGCAGGTGCGTATGGGGACTCGCACAGGAGACCCAGGGCGCCTCCTCCTTCAGACGCTGTGCGGCCATCTGTAGGAAAACTCGAGTGAGTCCACAAACCCTCCATGCCCACCCCAGGAACTGAGCTCCCTGTAGTCAGAGCACCCGCGTAAGGCATGACCAGTGCGTGGTAGCCCTCAATGTTGGGGATGTGGGACCCCAGAGGAACATGCGTGTTCTGCCCTCCCCAGCAGCCCCCTTCCCTCCTTGCAGCTGCGGAACCAAAAGGAAGCCTCCCAGAACAGGGGCCAGGAGCCCCAGGTGCCCTCCAGCAGCAAGCACCGACGGTAGGGGGCAGCCCAGGCGGGAAGAGGGGGTTGGGGCTCCCCAGGGCTTGGACCCTGATGCCCTCCCTTCCCACCAGGAGCTCCGTGTGTCGTCTGAGCAGCCGCGAGAAGATCTCCCTCCAGGACCTGTCCAAGGAGCGCCGGCCAGGGGGGGCAAGGGGGCCCCCCATCCGGGACGAGGATGAGGGAGAAGAAGGCCCCACAGGTGAGGGCCCTGGCTCTCTGCTTCTGAATCTAGAGAGGAGGGGCTGGGGGCCTGGACTGCCAGGTCTGATGGAGGAGGGGCTGGGGGCCTGGACTCCTGGGTCTGAGGGAGGAGGGGCTGGGGCCTGGACTCCCGGGTCTGAGAGAGGAGGGGCTGGGTCTCACAGGCAGCTGGCATATTCTTGTGTCCTGTCCCATCTTTCTACATCATAGAGCCACCTCCTGCAGAATCCAGAACCCTCAACGGAGTCTCCTCCCCGCCACCCCGCAGCCCTAAGAGCTCCATGGTGCGTATGTATGGATGCCCTGGAGGCCATGCTGGCCTGGGAAGGTGGGGGAGGGATGCCATTAATGCCTGTAACCTCTTGTCAGGGTAGGTAGGGTGAAGACTACAGTTCCCAGAATCCTCCAGGACAAGTGACAGTGTTTTTCTGGCTGCCCCTGCCCTGGGGGCTGATGGGAATTGTAGTTTGTTGTGGTCCTTCTGGCAGTTAACCCTGTAAGTCTCTGAGAAGGGAAACCCTTTCTCCATAACTGAGACCTTTCTCTTACTCAGCCCCCCGAAGAGGTCCCCTTCTCCAGGCGCTTTGGCCTCTTGAAGACGGGAAGCTCTAGTGCCCTGGGTCCCGCAGACAGGTTGGGGGCCGAGGGCGCCCCTGGGGCTGGGCTGCAGCGCTCAGCTTCTTCCTCACGGCTGGAAGGGACCTCCCCTCAGGTGAGTGGGGTGAGGGGCCGGGGAGTAGGCCCTGCCCAGCCGAGGAGGATACTCGCCTCCCCTCCCCTCCTCTCCTCTCTCCACAGGCCAGGGAGCCCCGTCTGGCCAGAGTTACCCCCACCCCATCCCAGAAGGTGCCCGAGCCCTGTGCTCTGTGAGTACCAAGGGCCCTCAGGGCGGGAGGCAGGTCTGGGTCCCAACCTTGTCACATGATTCTGAGCAAGTCCATTTTCTCTCTGGGGTCTCGTCCCTGTCCATCCCCCACCCCCTGCCCCGACTCTGCCTCATTTTCCCTTTTGCTGCCTCAAGTAATCACTAACAGCAACATTTCCAAGGCCTCAGTGATCTGGGCTCCTGTTGCCCCTCTGTCCCATATCCCACTGTCCCTCTCACAGGCACACCCCCACCCACTGCCTGTGCTCCAGCCCCCTCAGACCCACGGGGCTTGCTGCCTCCTTCCCTTAGGTCTGTGTTTAAATGCCACCGTCTCCATGAGGCCCAACCCCACCGTGACCGCCTGCTCTCATGGCAGGTCTCGAACACGGCCCCTCCTGTATCCTGTCCTTGTTTCTTTTCTCCAAAGTACTTAATTCTCTTGACATTTTATATGATGTCTTCATCTTTTATGGTTATCGTTTATTTTGCATCTTTCTGCTCAGATTTGGCTCATCAGGGCAGAGACAATTTCTTTTGCTCACTGCTGTGTCTTTAGTGCCTGCCACATGATGCAAACTTGAGTAATATTTGCTGAACGAATGAATTCACACAGGTTTGAGATCTGCAGGTCTCCTCCCTTGGATAACTCCACTCCTCCCTCCAGGATTCCACAGCCTGAATCCCCAGTGAAGCCAAATGTCCCCGCAGCCTCCGCAGCACCCCCAGCAGACTCCCGGGACCGCCGGAGGTGAAGAGGCCAGGGGTGGGAAGCTGCTGTTGCTCCAACTGGGAGAAAACTACGTTACCCAGAAGTCCCCAGGGCTTTGGGTGGGGCTCCTAAGGGAGAGTTTGTCCCAGGATCAGCTGGGAGTTGAAGTCCCTGACTCCCCCTAAGGGTGTCAGCCGGGGGATGGGGACAGTGCCCAAAGGAACCCTCCTTGAGCTTGGGGGCCCTTCGTTCAGGTCCTACCAGATGCCTGTGCGGGATGAGGAGTCTGAATCCCAGCGAAAAGCTCGCTCTCGCCTCATGCGCCAGTCTCGGAGGTCCACACAGGTGTGGGGCATGGGATGGGGGGCTGGAAACCTGGACTCCTGGATCTGAGGGAGGAGGGGCTGGGGACCTGGACTGTTGGGTCTGAGGGAGGAGGGGGCTGGGGGCCTGGACTCAGATCCTGAAGGGGCTGGATCCTGAGTCCCGGGCCCCTTGTCTGACCTCTCTCCCTGCAGGGTGTGACTCTGACGGACCTGAAGGAAGCAGAGAAGGCCGCAGGGAAGGCCCCAGAGCCAGAAAAGTCGGGCCTGCAGAGCCTGGTGAGAGGGGTCAGGTGATCGGGCAGTGGGGGTACAAGATGCCCTCGTCCTCTGACCCCCTGCCCCTCTCCCACAGGACCCTTCCCGGCGGCCCCGAGTCCCTGGGTTCGAGAACTCTGATGGCCCTGCCCAGAGAGGTGAGGTCTGGTCTCTGAGAGGTTGTCCTCCTGATCTACCCTATCCTTCCTGCTGCTGTTTTCCCTGTCTCTTGGGGTCTTGGGCCCAGGGACCCCAACACCGAAGACAGGGGCCCCTCCCCAGGTGCCTGGGCTGATTCCTGCCCCTCCCCCAGCAGAGGCGCCCGACGGGCAGGGTCAGGGACCACAGGCCGCCCGGGAGCACCGCAAAGTCGGCAAGGAGCGGAGGGGGCCTGCAGAGGTGAGGGTGGGGCCAGGGGGGCACGCTGGGGCTGGGGGCAGTCCAAACTTCCCTACCACATCTGCCTGAACCCTACCTCTGCCCACAGGGGGAGGAGGCGGAGCCGGTGGACCTCAGCCCAGAATCCAGGTACGAGGCGGCCAGTGAAGGTTTTGGGTTGTCTGGGGGGCTGTCGGGCATGCCCCCTGATGCCCTACTCTGCCTCCACCCCAGCACTCTCGAGGGCACCCCCTCCCCTCACAGGCAGCGGGACCTCAACTCAGAACCCGAGCCAGAATCGGAAGAGCCCGATGGAGGCTTCAGGAAGGTTCGCGAACTTACCCCACGATCGGTGCCCAAAACCAGTCCCCACAAGTAGGCCTTTATATCTGCCCACCTGCCCCCTCTGCAGTGGCTCTGTCGGCCCCATCCACGCGCCCCGCGTTTTCGGGCCTCCCTCAGCTGCCGTCGCCACTCCGGCAAAGGCGCCACACCCCAGGCTGGTAGGCCTGACCCGTCTCCCTCTTCCTGGTGTCATAGCTGTACGCAGAGCTGCGCAGTGAGAACGAGCGACTGCGCGAGGCCCTGACGGAGACGACGCTGCGGCTGGCGCAGCTCAAGGTGGAGCTGGAGCGCGCCACGCAGGTGAGGGCCCTGTGCAGGTGAGGGCGCGAGGCCCTGGAGGTGGCCGCAACGTGTAGCGCTAGCAATGAGGGGTAGGATCTGATCTGGGCTCCGACTCCTGAGGGGCGGGGCCCGAAGGGGTGGGGTTAGGACCCCCTGGGAGGCCGGACCTGAGCAAGAAGAAGGGGGCGGGGGGGCGGGCCAGGTTCTCTGTGGGCGGGTCCTCAGTGATGAGTGGCGTGGCTGGTGGTGGTGAGCAGTGGGCGGCCTGGAGCCTGGACTGCCTTTCTCCTCCCTGCCCTTCTGGTGGCCCCTTCCTGGCCATTGCAGTTTGGGCGTTTCTCTGACCTCTGTGCTTCCTCTGTCCTCACCAGAGGCAGGAGCGGTTTGCAGAGAGGCCGGCCCTTCTGGAGCTGGAGAGATTTGTGAGTAGGGGCTGTCGGGGTGGGGCCACGTGTATCCCCAGCCTCCAAGCCCTGTGGGTCTGGATGAAGAGGGCCACACAGGCTTTCTGACCCACCCTCTGAGCTTTCCCCACCTTTCTTAGCCTCACTCAACCTCTGGCCCTCACTTCCCCCCATTTATTCCAGGAGCGCAGGGCCCTGGAGCGAAAGGCTGCCGAGCTGGAGGAGGAGCTGAAGGTGAATCTTAATGGGGCGCTGTGGGCAGAGGACCAGGGTGGGCACTGGGTGCAGCCTGCCCAAGACCACCCACCTGACCCTGTCCCCTCCCACAGGCTCTGTCCGACCTCCGGGCTGACAACCAGCGGCTCAAGGATGAGAACGCAGCACTGATCCGCGTCATCAGCAAACTCTCCAAGTGACTCTGGAGGAGGACCTTCCCCGCACCCGTATTTATACAGCTGCTTCTGCCACACGCACCCTTCCCCTGTGTGAACACGAGTGACAGGGCTCCCGGGGGAGTCTCTGAGAAGCCATAACCTCCCCTCGGGACCTCCAGACTGAGGGGAGTGCAGGGTCCCCAGGAGCCAAGGGGGGCCGTCCGAGGCCAAGATGGAGGCGGGAGGAGCCAGGTAGAGGGACATCGCTGAGGGGGGACCAGGGCTGGAGGCGGGACAAGAAGGCACCAAGGACCAGAAAGTGCCAGGACCAGTAGCCAGGACCAGAGTGGCCACCCGGAGGTCCCCCCTCACGTGTGTTGCCACCCCAGTCACCCCTCCCGCTCCTGAACAGGGATCCGAGAATGTGCCAAGAGTCCCGCCGGCCTCGGCCGGGTGGGCCTGTATATAGGGTCCATGTGCAATAGGGAGGGATGTCTTCTATTTTTTGCTGCCCCCTCCCCGCCCACTGTCCGGGGCAGGGGGAGAAGGTATTTTCAAGACAAAGCACAGGCACCTCAAATAAAAGTCGTGAAGTTGCCACTCAATGGCTGTCCCCAGCTGGAGGTGGGGCGCCACTTCTGTGCTCGGGCTGTGCGTGTCAGTGACTAAAACACAGGACCGTGTGGGTGGCGTGCAGAGGGGTGGGTGGGTGCTCAGTGGGTGGGAAGGGGCTTCAGGAGAGTGGCAGTTGGAGGAGAGGCCCCACACCAGCGGTGATGTGCTCAGGGTAAGGTGGCTGGGGCTGGGCGGGAAGGCTCAGCCGAGTGAGGATGAGCCGTGACTCGCGAGCACGGGAGCTTGGGTCTTGCCATCAGTGCTTTTGAAATAGATTTGAGTTCGTTGCCACCATTTAAAATCAGGGGTAATTCACATATGAAAATCTGGAGTTTGAGTTCTCTAAAAAAATAGGAAGCTGTGATGGTATGAGCTCTTCAGTCCTGCATGGTAGCAGTTGGCTGGAGCTGAGTAGAAGCCATCTTGTGAGATGGGGCACTCATTCACTCACGCGTTCTTGGTCATATTCTACCTGCTAGGCCCTGCCCCAGCCGTGCGGGATATGGTCATGCATGAAATAGGCAAAGACCCCGTACGTTTTAGGAGGAGAAGCATAAGGCATCCAACGATAATATAAATGTATTTCAGGGGGTGGTGCCATGGAGAAAAAGCAGGGGAAGGGGACAGCGAGGCTGGTGTGTGTGTGTGTGTGTGTGAGTGTGAGAGAGAGGGTATGTGCACATGTGTGCTTTGTACAGGGTGGTCAGAGTAGGCCTCACTGGAAAGCTAGCACAGGCAGTTACTTCAAGGGGTCAGGGAATGAGCCATGCAGGTATTTGAGGGAAGAGTCTTCTGGATGATGAAAACTGTGTGTGCATAGGCCCTGTGGTAGAAGTGTGCCTGACATGTTGAGGCACAGGAAGAAGCCGGTGTGGCTGGAGGGAAGTAGTAGGGGGTGAGGTTGGAGAGGTAATGGCTGGCCATGTAGGGACGTGGCCCTGGTAAGGACTTGAGCCGTGAGGTGGGACCTAGGTTTTAACAGGTCCATCTTGTTGCTGCATTGAAAATATATTGGCAGGGGGCCGGGGGGGGGGGGCGGGGGGCAGGATGATCTGACAGATTGGACTGCAATAGGAATGGGGCTCAGGCCCGGCTTGCTCACGTGGGTCAGGTGTCTGGCTCCTGCAGGCATTGCAGCTTGCAGCCTAGACGATGGCAGCCATGGGGGTTTACTGAAGGGGGAAAACTGGTTGGATCAAGGAGGTTTGAGGAACCGCTTGCATCTCTGGTTCCTCTGTTAGAAATGAGGGCTGGGGCATCAGGCAAGAGGTTGATGGATGATTAAACACCCTCGAGGACCGAGGGTATTTGGTGGAAGGAACACCACAGACAGGACTGGCGGCAGGAAGAGGGAAGCAGAGTGCTGCGCCCGACGAGCCGGTGAGCCTGGCCGGCCACAGCCCTGGGCTGCCGAGCCGGAGCTTGGATTTTATGACGGCCGTGGGGAGCTAAGGGAGCCGTGTGAGCAGGGTACAGGGACAGGGGAGGTGGGAAGGAGTCCTGGGGAGCTGCTGTGTCCTGGTGGCAGAAGGAAACCGAGGCAGGAGGGGGACCAAGTGGGGACTGAGAACCAGAGCTCCTGCCTGCCCAAGGCTGTGTCTCTGGTCCCCTCTGGTCTGGGAGGCTGTCCTGGGTGGCTCGGAGAAGCTGAGCGCCAGGGGAAGAGGCCGGCAGGAATTCTGGTGAGGGAGCTTGGCCCTGGGCGTTCTGGGGAAGCAGGAGAAGGAGCTACAGAGGAAAAGGAAAGGGCCTTCTTCCCAAAGCTGGTGGAACGTCCAGTCTGAACAAGGCTGGGTCCCAGAGAAAGCCAGTCCTGAACCAGCTGGATAACGGGAAAAAGTTGCCGGGTAGCCAGAGGGCAAAGGAGCTGGGTGTTCTCGGGGGCGTGGGGGTAGGAAGCCTCCAGTTAGGCTGCCATCTCACAGGATGAAGAGTGGCCAGGGAGCCTGTGGCACGTCCTGGGGGCAGCCAGTTCTCTGTGGCTGGCCTCCCAGCAGGAGACGATGAACAAACTGGAGACGTGGCTGGGACACTAACCTGAGATGAGGGCAGGCTTCCCAGAAGTGGGTATTTGAGCTGGGCCAGGAAGGCTGAATAGGAGTTTGCCAGGCAGAGAATCAGTGTTCCAGCCAGCAGAAACCAGCAAATGCAAAACCCCAGTGGTTGAAGGGGTTTGGGAGTGTTTGGAGAAGGGCGGGACTGGAATGCCTGGTGGAATGAGGACATAAGAAAGAGGAGAGGTGGGTAGAGACCAAACCACTCAGGGCCTCGAATGCCACGTCACAGGGCTAAGAGGGCCCTGGGGAGCCAGGGAAGGATTTTGAGCAAGGGACGGGCTGGGATCATGGGTGTTCAGAAGATCCCTCTAGAGCGAACTGGAGGACAGACTGGAGGTTGGGAGGTCAGGAGGAAGCCTGGGTTGGGGCCCCAGGAAGGGAGAGGAGGATTCAGAGAAAGAAACCAAAGAAGGTGGGGACATCTAGATTCCTTTCCTCCTGTGAGGCTGTAGTTGGAACGAGGGGCAGATTCCTGGGCCCCCTGGTACCCGGGTAGAGAAGGGACAGCAGTTGACACCACCTGCTAAGAAGAGGCTGTTTATAGAC